CTCAAAATCTAAGAAATTATTTTTTACCTTCAAAATCCACTTTTCAAGACACTAGTTTATTTAAAATTGAATTAATTTTAATCTAATTATCTATTTGAGCTCAAACTTGTAGAACATATTTACACAATAACTTTTATAATCTTAAAAAAAATTATTAGTAGATTAACTACAATATATTATCCAAAGAGATTTATTGATGTTTTTTTTATTAGTTTCTTATCTTTTAGTATTATTATATTCTTGCATTGTAAATCTTTGAAATATGATGAGATATGTCTAATATTTTCGAATAATTTTTTTGCTTAATTTTGTAATGTTTTTATCAAAGTTAGATATGATGTTGGTAATATATGAATAAGCTTGTTGAGATGATTATATAATCTTTGTTTCACAGTAGAAGGAAAGAAAGAAGCTCATATAAAGAGTGCAACCATGATTTTAGCTATTTTTATAACTTGCTAGAATAAAATTACTTTCCATTATAACAAAAAAAATATATTATAATTTAATATTATTTTACAATCTTTAGTTCATTATTTTTAGAAGAAGAGAGAGATGAAGCTTTAATATTGTATTTTGCAACCTAAATCCACTAACAAATTTGTAATAGTGTTGGAAAAATATTTTCTATTTATATGACTATTGTTAATATCTAAGTACAAGAAACTAGTTATAAATATCAATATGAAGCTTATTATAGCAAGCAAAGCTAATATATATATTTTTCAATATCTCTTTGCATATGCAAGCATTATTTTACTAACTTTGAGATGATATGATTATTTTTATAAATAATAATCTTATAAACTATTTGATATTAGATAATGCTTTTGTTAACTATACTTTACAAAAATATTGGTCTAAAATTTTAATCTTTAGTAATCACCTTTACTTTGCACAAATTTAATCTTATATATTATGCATTCGACCATAGGTGTTGATGTTTATGTGAATAATTTTATTTTAAAGTCTTAAAATGCTTCATCTAAACTGCTCAAATGCTCTTTGTACAATTCGATTTTTAAATTTTTTTGATTTTTAAATTATTTTTTAATGTAGCAATGTTGACATCAATGATATGAGGGATATCATTAAATATCTAGTAAATAGTATTATTTTTATAAGAAAGGTTAAGAAACATCTCTATTGAGAATTTATTAATATTCAAACCACGTCATGTTTGTGCACTATTATTCTGAATCTCCTTTGTATCTTTAATTATTTCTTCTTTTTATTCATGTATAATAAAATTTAGTAGTCTTATATGTCTCTAGAAATTTGTTATTATCACTTAAAATGCTTCATTTTATGCTCGTTTTTTCCAATGCATTGCTTACAAAACATTGATCTTATAAGGATCATTGTTATCATTTCTTAAATTATCAAGCACAAATCATATTTGTATCCATTGATCAATAATAATTTCAACATCCATAAGTAGTAGAATAGAATTTGTGATTGATGGAGGGAGAGAGAGAGGAGGAAAAAAATAGTAAGTCTGTTTTAAAGTAACAATACCATTCACGCTATACACAATACAATTGTCAAGGAGAAGAATGATTTTTTGACCTTGCCATCTCATATTGCCATTGAATTACTTGATTCACTCAATAAATAATATGGATGTCATCTAAGCCTTCTTCTTTTTAATAATAATTACATCTAAGTTGCTTGTCTATTTTTTTTTTTTTTTAAATTCTTAAGATTTCTAGGCCTTGCCAATAATAAATGGCTATAATTTATATTTTACACAGAATTAGCTATAATTAAAATGAATTTTTTTTTAAAAATAAATTGGCTAAAAATTATATCATTTAGTAAAATGCTCTAAAACAAACAAGATTTATCTATATTAAAATTACCATTGTAATTGTATTTTTCTATTAATTCTTTTAGTGCAAACACTTAAGTAGTTGTTTCTAATGCATCTAAACTTCTAGTCTCTTTGTGCAATAAGAAGTAAAAAACTCAATGTTTTCCTTAAAATTTGTCATCTATTCATTGAAAAATATGGTTTTTTTTTTTTCTTTTTTTTCTTTTTTTTTTCCCAAATAAAGATAAGGTTGATATTTATCTGCATATCTTGACAGTGACCAAATTAGTTTGCAAGTTTACTTTCTATTGCTATAAAGTGAGGCAAACATTTGCAACAAGTTGCCAACTCTTTGCTATTTATTTTTTCACATTTCTTGTGATGTGTCACAATGTTTAAAATTGTTAACTATGAAGGAGCTCTAATAAGTCCAAGTTCTTTCTTTTCCTACTTTACATGAGTATATTGAGTAATATGTCTAATTTTTTTATTATGAATTTGTAGTCATTGAGTATTTGTTAGGTTCTAACATGATAAAAACTGCAAGAAAGAAACTAGTGCATTTTTGTTAGTTATGTTTTGTTACCTGCACATATATAGATGCAAAATCCAAAAATAATAAAGCTTTGTAACTTATATTGGTAATAAATATTTTACTTGCATTATTTTTAATTTATCTCCATAATTTTTTTTCTTTGTTATTTGGATTATCATAGTAATTGTTCATTCTACTAAAAATTTGATCACTATCACTATTTTTCCAAAGATTATTTAATCTTGACCAAGTGCACATTCTTTTTAACTATGACATAAGAATAGAGAGGATAGAAAATAGAATATAAAGAATAAAGTAAAGAATATAAGCTTATGTGGTAATAATGAAGAATTTGTTTAAGTTTGTTGAAGCATGATCATTGCACACATTGTTGTATGACTAGTGAGACAACATCAACCAATTGCTCCTTTAATGCTCAATTCACTTTAAAATATTAAAATAATATGATCCCTCATAATTCATACCAACTTCTATGACCAATTGAATTTCCATCTACTAAAGGTATTAAATTACTTAGGATACATAGAGGTACCCTATTTAATATATACTTCTTAACTAATATTCTTTGCTTAATAATATTTACTAAAATAGAGGTTGTTTCTAAGTTGTAAATACATAAAATTTCTTTTTGCTTAATTAATAAAATAAATGTGTAACTTTATGATTTAAGTGAAGAATTTTTAACAACCATATATTTATTCTTTACATATACTATTATAGTTATATTTTAAAATCATCTTAAAATATAAATTTTATTTAAATAAAATTTTATTTTAACTTTAAATAAAATATTAATCAAATGATGAGGTTTGAATAGCCATGAAAGAAAACTGATAGTGTAAAGAAAGAAAGAAAGAAAAAAATTAAATTAAATATGAAAGAATGTAGGATTTAAAGCTACATATTTCAATTGATATCTATGTGAAGTAGGATATCAAAAAGAGTCTACATAAGAGACTTGCTCTTTTGGTTTAGAAGGAATTGTAAAATTGAAGGTGCAAATAGAATTTGTTTATTTATTTTGTATTCTTCTTAATTTTTAGATTCGGATTTAGTTTTTAATTATTATTATTATTATTATTATTATTTTTGAATGCCCTGTTTTATATAGAAGACTATAAAGAAATAATCTTGATGATGATTTTTAAGGTTTAAACTATGCAGTTGTTGGAGTGGTATTTCCTAGTTTTGGTATGAGTTGCAATTTGCGGAGATTTGTCAATAGGTGCAATTTATCTCCCAATTCATTTTTTAAGTGTCTTTTTTATTTTATTTTTTAGAGTTATTTTTAGATAATTTTCATTTATCCTCAGCTCTGTTACCTATTAGCATTAGAAACTAAGCTATTGTCTTTTGAGAGGACAAAAGAGGTAAAAGAAATAGAGTGTAAGTTGACTTGGATTGATTTTGTATTTCACATAAGGTTGGAGGATTTAGATTTGTGATATTTATTATTTACTTTTAGCAAGAAATATTTACTTAGATTTTATTCAAATTTTTGTACAAAAATTTGAAATTAAAGCAAATGGTTTTGATTAAGGTTTGTGAACACCTTACAAGGTGAAGTCAATTTAGATAGATGTAAATGTTTTGAACGTGAATAGCATGTTCTTGGATTATTTTAGCTGATTTATGCAATTAGCAAAGAATTTAAGTTTTCTCTATTTACATTAATATTCTTTGGATAGCTATTCTTGATAGTAAGAATCTAATTTAAGAAAGATAATAATTAAATATGTAGATCTAATGAACAAGTAGTTTAGTATGAGGCTATGGCTAAAAGTCTTATAAGTTTGACATAAGCTTAGTTTTATTGATTTGAAGCATGGAATGTGCTAACCAAGGATGGAAAATCACTTTTTGAATATGAAATTTCATGATCTCAAATAAATCATAAAATCTTTCATAATTAAATGAAATTATTAAAAATCTTGAATATTTATAATATTTAATAAAAACCAAGTTATATATCTTTGGATTCTTAAATGATAAAAAAATTAAAGATTTTGAGCATAACTTTACTATTAATTTTTTTGATTAATTAATTTATTTTATTTTACAAACAATACTCAAATTCCTACTAGAAAATTAATTTAACCAAAATGTTGTCATTTTATAATTGAAAGAAAATTAACATCACTCATCCTTTATTAGAGAATATTATAAAAAAGATTTATTTTAAATTTTGTGCTATATATTTTAACAGAAATCATGTCCAACATTACTAAATTTAATAATATAGGCCAATAAAAAACAATAACAAACAATAACAGTGGGGAATTTGTGCAATTATACTTTGTATACGATTGACATGGCTGGCAAAGATTTAGAAAAATATATTGCAATGAATTGGGACTTATTGACTGCAATAGTACCTGTAGTCACAATGGAATTCCTTATAATATGGCATACACTGAGGGTTCTCAATAGGACGTATTTTGATGTTAGAAGCTATATACAACTGCATTAAAATTCACAAATTAGAAAGCAGATATTTGAAAGAGGTGTTTCATGTACTGTTTCAAAATTGATAGCATTCCATACCCTTTCTACAAGACCTAGAGCATCATACTTGTTGATAACATCACTTTCGACTACAAGTGGAGAAGACACTACAATTACACAGTTATGTTCAATTGTCATATACCATAGAGGTCACCCTTCAATAGAGTGAAATTTATTAATATACAATAGCTTTAGTTCACAAACTTCGACATGAAACATGCCGTTTGTAAGAAGCCCTGCATGTGTGCAACTACCTTCTCAAAATCACGTTTTCGCTACTGAGCGGTCACTTCACAAAGTGTGCCGCAAACAAAGCCGCATACAGAAGACGCTCGCAGCTGGGAAGCTACCTGACCGTCGAGGTTGAATTCACTGATCCCAGTATTTACATGCTTAGTCGGAATCAGAGCTGTCTCCGTCAAGGAAAATCTCGTCCATGACAACGATGAGCGCAAATATTAAGGCCTGGTCTACTCCGGGGTGAATTGTCACTCCGAATGAGTCCTTATCTAATATCTGTGATCTAACATTGATCTGGCGGGTCACCTGTTGGATCCATGACCATGGCAACGAAGTTAGTAATAAACATAAATCAGAATCATATACTAAAATAAGCTAGTCCAAGTAGTTCTCTTGTTAGTAACAGCTATAAGTCGAGTATATGCCACTCTAAACTCTAACATTTTACCCGGATTGTCTTTCATTCGATCCAAAAGTTTGAGTTGGATGATGCTTAGGGATTCAACCAAAAGGCATCGTCTTTAAACATGTGTTCTCTGTTATGTAACCCAAAAAAGCTCCGAATTTAATCGCCAGATCAGAACGCTGATACAAAATATGAAAGCTTAGGAAAGGAATGATTGAAGTGAAATCATACCACAGCGGCTTCTTCGGTGCCACGGTAGATAGCAATGTTGTAGTTGAAAAAGTCGCCCTTCACTTGATAGTCTGGCGTGTTCTTGCCCGAAGTGGAAGAAGCAAGCATGACATCCATGGCGGTCTTCACCTGCACCAAAGAGGATTTCTTGCAAGTGGCCAAGACGTTGCTGCCATCGCCAGCAAGGATTTCCCATGAGTTGTGCATAGTTATCAGCTTCTTCTTCAAGGTCAGGATCTTGTTACCGGCTGCGTCCTTCAGGTATCGCTTATCACGCATGCTCGCAATCTTGCCGCTAACCTTGAAGGAGCTATTACCATTCTGATCGACGATTGCCCAATCGCCGTCCTTGATGGACACCTTCTGCGAGATAGCATAGGTCATCGGTGCATGGGCGACATACTGTTGCCCAACTACAGCTTGATGATCACCCGACAATCCTGTCGTCTGGTGGATGTTCTCCGGGGGTTGTACGTAGCCGCCATCATTGCCTGCAAAGTTCACGATCAATCAACCAATCAACATCTTAACATTAGGGCAGTCTTGGACATAGCTCGATAAATTTTCATCTTACACACTATCTCGATCGTTTCACATGCATTGCAATTCAGCGAAGAGGATATAATAGTAAACTAGAAAACCTGATCATCCGTCACCATTGAAACCTGCACACAGGATGGTCAAGTACCTGTGTTCATGCCAGCGGGGTTCTGAGCGTGAGGGTAGGATTGTTCTGCCATACTAGGAATCAGTCAAGTGTCAAAAAATCCGTCCGACTCTGCGATCTGCTCAAATGAATCCAACGACAATGAACAACTGCAAACTTGTCTACACTATTGATTCTACAGCAATAGACCAACTGGAAAGCAATGTGATCGACCAGGATCGGAAACTGTGTGTTGAAGTCCGACAGAAGGTGAAGCATTTATGGGAAGGAGCCTTGTCAAGTAAGGGAACAAAGCTGCGGAGAAAATCTAGCTAGAGGAAGGTGTTGGTGAGCCATGTCAGCCTTCCTATGCCCGGAAGTTGATGTCCGGATGACGTTGCGTTGTGCCATTCGCTTAATATCAAAAGCATATATCTCAACGTTGTAGTTGAAAAGCTAAGATTTTCGCATCGATAAAATCCTGAAGCTTTAATTGGCCAAAACGGTCCGTAATCAGCGAAATACCGTCCAAAAATTAGTCAGAGTCGCTAATTTTGGTTTTAATGGAAGTAGATGGATCGAAACCGATCGTACGCAGTTATTGATGAGGAAGAGCTTACTTGGATCCCATTCAGAGCTATGCTGCCACCAGCTTCCACGTGGTCGAGGGCCATGGAGGTGGCGACACGTTACAAAGCGACATGCCACACTTGGCAGGCTGCAACAGGGTCGAACAGACATCAGTGTTCAGCCAGCATATCCTCAGAATCTTCAAGTGTGTCTGAGCGCAGTGGACTCCGATCCGGACTGTCATCTAACCTGCAAAATGCCTTGTTCATACAATCGGTCACTGTAAGTCCTCAAACAGTAAGATGTAAAATTCTATAACTTCATTCACACTTAGCTTTTCTTCTATTAGCAGCTTGCACGATTGTGAAAATTGGAGAAAAACGCGTCTGTTGCTGGAAATTGTAACTCCTCCTTAAGTCACGCGTAGCTGGTAATACACACCTTTGTAATGTAATCTTTTAGATGCGTGCGCAATTATCCTGCACTATTTTTACTGGGTAAAAAAAGCTCTGTGGTATAATTAGTCACTTCTCACCCAACCCCTCATAAGTAGCATTCAAATCAAGCTCAAGGACTTTAAATCCTTGTTACCCTTGAATGCTCGCAACGTCTTGGTTTTTCGGATGAATAAACCTCTATTCGCAACTGGCATTTCTGCATTGCGAGAATCCTCGCGCTTGTTGAATGGTCATTTCAAATACAATAGTAGGAAGTGCAGTAAATGGTTCTTTTATAGGACATACATTCATCACACCAATGTGAAGTGAACAAATGCCAGTTTCTCGAACTGCTTACGACGGAATCTGTTGATCGACAACTACAGAACTGAGCTTCAGGTTTACACAGCGAAAGAGAGCCAAGTTAATACTACAGCTTATACCGTTTCCTATTTTCAATCCTACTTGCTAATTCTGCGGCTATCGACGCAAATTCACCAGCTGCCTCTTACATCTCTTCAGCTTGGTTGTTCACAGCCTGCACAGAGGTCATTACAATAGTCTGCTTCAGCAACGACCTACAAAATCTGGTCATTGACAAGTTACAAAATTCCTCCGAATGAAAAGTATACAAGCTTAAGAAATCCCTTCACGTAAAGTTAAGCATTTCCGAAAATCAGTCTTAGTTGACCTCAATCAAAGTGATGACAAATATGTTCTTATCTAAAAATCCATCGATGATACGAACGAGATACACCTGAAGCCGGTGCTCCCGTTCTATTAACTTTTCTCTGTTAATGGCAGCAGTACTCATGGGGTCCTGGATCAACAAAAACCAAACTCACGTCATTTCAGTAAAACTTGACAAAAGTCGTTGAATACTGTACATAGTATTACAGATAGAGAGTGACAACGTAGAAAATAACTTTGAATCTTAAACAGCCAAATTAACCAAATTATTCATCACGTTCACTGAAATTCCGGCTTCAAAACGTATTAGAGCATACAGGTTGAAATTATAATACAATTAACGTGATGAGCAATATTCCTTCACAACACTCATATTCACATGTGATGTTTGAACAAGCACATCTAATCCCTAAAAAAGTGCCTCAACTGATACTGTTCGAATGTGAACGGTATCCACCTAGACAATCGAGTAGTCATTGAAACATCCTAGCCTGAAATTCGACTGAATTGATGATATGAAATGAACCTTCAAACATTGCAGTAAAGAATTTGAAAATGTTAGTTGAACAGATTTGAAGTCTACCATGCTTGGTTTTTGGCCATATTTAACTTTAATTTCATCTGCAGATCGACCTTGAGGTGAAAGATCCTCTTGACTCTCATCAAGTATCGATCTGTTGTCTGCTCCATCGTTCTTCTCCTTGCTTACTGTTAAGCGTATCACATAGAATTGCGTTATGGTAGAATAATATCTAGTGGATGGCCAACTGTCAGGTCAGCTATGAGCTAGTGGAACTTAGGAATAATATTCACACATAAATCTCATGTCAAAGTGCGAAGGCAAGAGGGAATATATCTCGCATAATAAGAACAGTGTGGAAGACTCCACAATCACTATTCTGACCATCGGCATTCTTGCCTATCATTCCTAACATATTCTTAATTTGTTTGTTAGTCAAATTATATAAATACCTTTGAAACTCTTTCTCAATCTGTTGACGAGTTTTTCCTTCCTGATCTTGCCTGCTATGGGCGAACTTATAGTCGGTTCATCAGAATTAACGTCAATGTCATCTGCAAATGCAGGTACGTATGTCAGATTAGGCATAGAAACGAATGAGTCTTTCTGGAAAGGGTTTCATTTATGATTTCATGACCTAATATGAATACAATGGAGCACACACCGAAGTACAGGGAGTTGGATGAGGAACCCATTGAAGCTTTTGATTCAGAATCTGTAGACAAGATGGCAAATCGGGACGCAAAAAGTGCTCCTAATTCAACCGAAGGATGTAGGTATAGTGGCTGCCCAGCTCCACTTTTTAGTTCTTTAATAAATCCTCCAAGAAGACTCTGTACACGAAACATCTTGTATATCAAATTCAATCCCTGTCTGAAAGTAAATTCAGCACTTGAAGAGCAGGTTGGCATATTTTTTTTCACCTTCTTCTTAGACTCCGGCGTAGGAGAGTCTATAACAGCTTCTGATGCAGTAGCAAGATTCCTATCAAATAATGTTGAACATGAATCTGGTAATTTGAAATTTGCAGTGCCAACACAATTCAGAACATCTTCAACATTAAATTCGCAGCCTCTGCAAACTACACATCTACAAATTTCAACAAGATACATCTCCAATGAACGATTGTTGAACTTTTCCTGTAGGCTGCATTACTATAGCAATTCTTTTAGCTGAAATTCTTCAACAAACATGGCCGACACGAGAAAAAGTCAAACCAAGAAATTTTATTAGCACCTCAACTTGTTCTCCTCCGACACTGTGGACAATCCAAGAATCTCTAGATTTGCATGAATCTGTGCAAAAAGGTCTAATATGTTAAAGGGACATTCTGCAACTCGAACAACTTCCATTTTTAAATGACTGGATTTTAACAAAATAGCAGAAGGTAGAAAACTAAATAATAAGCATATATGGAGTCAACTCTAACAAAGTAATTTCTTAAACTAAGCGACATACCAATGCCAAATGTCCATTTCTGGTCGAATTACTTAATTTTAGCGAACCGAATTCAAGTTCGCAGTGCGTCAAAGTGGTCATAGATCTCTCCTGAACAAGAGCCAGGTCGGGTAGCGATCTGATTGTGAAGCAGTGAATGATGGTTACACAAACTCAGTAATAACAGGACATGTTATCGCTATGCCTGGAAGACTTAACATGTCTTACCACGACTACTGTGACTAACAGTGATAACAACTGTAGCAGATAGAATACATAAAATAGAATAGGGTTGAAAGCACTTTTCTAAGTTATATTGTGGCCCATTACACTTGAAGAACCAAAACGTACCGGATTTCAATTAGGCCAGACTTGAATAAAAGTAAAAGCCCACATGTATGAGAACTAGAACATTCAAATGGGAAAGCTTGCAAGCACAATGCCTGAAACTTGACTTTCCGCAAAGTCTTGCGAAAACCCTGTCAGAATTTGAAATTATCCAGTATATATCAGAGAATTCAAGGACAAAATCATGACATCAGAGAAGCAAGACAGACCGTTAGTGTTTGTTTCATCAGCGAAGCAAGTCATTACGTCATTTAAGCTCTACAGATCTTTATTCTGAAAAGTTAACGATTAGAAAACTAAGCGAAACTTTTCCAGGCACTTTGAACCTGAATAATGGTTGACGTGGAGTAAAGTTGCAGACTGTATTCTAAACACAGCAACACATAAGACGCTTCCGAGCCTGATCCTGTTGAGAACGGACTGTCCGCACCCACTTCTTTTACTTTATCTTCCATTTCTTTCAACGGCGCTCCGTTTTCATCTGCAAGGCCTCAAGGCAATTGTGTATGAAAAGCCAAAATAGGCAAAAATGCCAACACAAATTCTACACGTCACGAGTATGGGACAAGTTTATCAGCCTGTTACAACCTCACGTCCAACCACCTGTGGCAAACTTTACCTTGAAATCGAAAAAAATCAATATTAAATGCAAATGAGAAAAATATAAGATACAGACGAGAACCAACCTAGTAGGTACATGGTTATTGCTGTAGATAAGTGTTTCAGATTTACAGGTCCAGTACTGAGAATGCCACATCCGGTGTCTGCATCAATCACATCCATGGACCCTTCTTTGTTTGCTATGAATATCACTGGAGATGAGAACGAAGGAGAGACATAGGTGAACAAGGTTGGCTCCTGGGCCCAAATAGTAAGACAGGTGGAGAAGATTTATTCCTGGACCCCGATCGCGACATAGGAGAAGAAGTGCTGCTCTTCAAATTAACAGGGACGGTTGCAAAAGCAATGCTGCTGATGTTACGGTTGATTTTCCCCTCAAAACTACTGCCCAAATATATAAGAGTCCATTATCCAGGTCGAACAGTGATATTTGTCAGATAAACGACACAATTGAATGCAGATCCATAAGGTTGTGCATAGTGCTTCAGGCTTCTACGCTTCTAACATTTTACGTCAAAAATGAAAATAGAAAAACAAAATAACAAAAACCCCCTTACACGTATATTCAGTGCATGATGTATACCCATGTTGTAACACTACCTGTAAGAATACGAGAAATACTTGAATAATATAGACAGCATTGCCAAAAGCACTTATAGGAACCTTCGGCAGATGAATGAACAAGAAAATCCTAATTTTTACTGTGTTTTCTACGCGAACTGAAGCTTATAGAAATGTAACTTTCTTTGCAGTCTCTGCTGCCAGATAATTGATAATTTATTTATGTAGCTAACAACTCTTGGTCCAAGTTACAATACCAGACCACATATTCGACTGTCCAGGCACTCACGAGATATGATTTATCGAAACGAAATGAGAGACTCACCACACCAGCTACATCACCTGTGGCAAGCCTCCGCAACTTACTGGCGATGGTTAGCGAACATATTTCCGATTGATGCACACTTAAAACAAGCGTACATTGAAATCCAGGAACTGCCTTCAGCCTAGAAACTGCCAAAGATGAATATATCAATTGCGACGAGTGTCAATGCTCGTGGATCGGTCAAAATGCCCAAGCATATTTTTTTGAACAAAGGATTAAACAAAAAGAATAAAGCATCAAAGTAGATGAAACGAATAACTGCAGCTTAGCACACTTGGCCAGTTATGTCACTCGTAGCATACAGATAGGTTAATTTGTAGGGTTAAATATGGAGTTCTGTGAACTGTGCAGAAGGTACCCGGATTTTACATTAAATTAAAATGAAAAGACTAAGCTCACAAGGTGTTCAACATAAGATAAGTAAAGGAGTTGGATGAAACCACTCACCAGAGCCTTGAGAACTGTTAATGCTGTTAATAAAGCAGCAGTTGATCTCCCTTGATTCAACACTGAAACTGTGCAACGACACCTAAAAGCCCCGCAAGGTCATGGTTACAAAGATTAATTCTAAAGAGAAAAATGGTGCATATCAACAAGCGACTAATCCAAGGACCAGGTTAGGAACTGCACTTTACGAACAGCACATTTCTTTTATCTCGTTGCCGCCAACTGGCAATGCACAATGTTATCGCATACGACAAATTTGCAAGGTGGATAAAACAATACCTTGCCTTGCTCATTGCCCACTGCCAAGTTCTGTAAAAATGGACAGAAAGCCAAAGCTGAAACTGGGCTTGCTTCTATTCCGGTCTGCAGAACATGGAAGCTATTTTATACAGCATATATCGTCAAACGGGCAAAAAATAAAGGTAAAACAAAATGAAATAAAGTCATCTTTTCAGCAAAGATCAATTCAGTGGGAGCAATAAAAAAATAAGAAAGGACTCCTGGTCCACCTGTATTTCTGCGACCTGAAGAAGTTGCAACGTTGACGTGGAGGTATCCCACATCTGTACCTGCCCTCTCTTGAGGCCCGTGATTAGAATTGTGTGTGGCCAATCCTGCTTTGACAATGAGGAACAAGAGTTCATCTTCCCTCCAGTTATTGGCCACTGTGTTCCAGCTGGCAACGAAAAGGGCACAACGTCGCTGCTACTCCAACGCAATTAAAGGAATCCACAGTCCCCATATTAGCATAAGCATAATTCTAATACCAAAAGATATGTTGGTTTTCTCTATGCTCAGACTCTTGACTGTGAATATTAGCAGATAAAGAGAGTAGGCGAGAATATGAGAAACAAAAAAATAAATATAAATATAAAATAAAAAATTACTCCCGGCAATTTCATGAAAAAACATAATCATTACAGTCGCGAGATGATAATTATTACAGTACCTGTGGTAAGATAGAATACGCTGCTGACTGTTGTGGAAGTAAAGCAAATTTGATTGCTGTAGTGGATGGCAATGGAGCCGGCCAAGTCACTGGCACTAAAGATGATGAGGAACCACTTTCATTCTGAGAGGAGAAACAAGAAGCAATGCCAGCTTCATCGTACAAATGCAATTGTCCTGGCGAAGTAAGGACTACTAGTGCCGCAATTGATGCACCGCCTGGATTCGGCAGAAGAGCCAAATCTCTAAATGGTCCATGCAATAGAAGCTCTAGCCGTGGCAACTTCGCTGAATTTGTGTTTCCATCCAAAGGCAGAACCTGAGATTTACAGATACAATGCTGATCAAGAGATTTCATATCACATCCATAAACACCTCAACAAGCATCCATGAATAGGGCATGGACAATTTCATTTATAGAATGAAAATTTAAAAAACTTACTGTAAGCACTTCTGGGGAACCCACTTCTCGACCTCCTACTAAATACAACCGGCCACCACTTTTGCTGGCTCTCAAATCACCAGACCATGCCATGACGAAAATAGGCATTCGTGTTGATTTTCCGGGCAGTGTATCTAGTTTTCGAAGAGGTTCTCCTGAAATAAAAGGACAGCTAATCCCAGAGTCGTCTGTTGTTACTGAAGGAATACTCCAAATCCAAACATCGCCATCTATGTATCCAGTGCACAAGGTGTTTCCACAGGTCCAACATGCGGCGCAGATTTCCTTTTCTTCGTCCTCTTCATCACTCACAGCCTTGGGACAGGGAATTTGAGGCTGTCCGACGGGTAATTCAGCTTGTTCGTGCATACTAATGAAGTTTTCTGCAAGAATTTCACGTTGCTTTTGTTCCTCCACGCACACCAATGACTTTTTTCTCGTGAAGGTCCCAAAGTACCAACAGGGCATTTTCATAAACAATAACCAACCTAGAAATTATTCGCAAAACAGGAACTGAGTGAGCAATTGGACTTCCAATTTCTGAAAGTCTGCATCAAGTACAACCTCTGAATCATTTTGAGTACAAAGCTGCAAAATCTTCATTCAAGTTTTAATTCAAAATTCAATACTAGAAATAATAGGATTTTATAATGAGATTACTTATTTCGCAAACACCTGGAAAAAATGACAAGCAAAGATTTTATCGAAGACGATGAAGACTGAAGGCTTACGCAATAAGACATCTGTCAGACTTTCCTATTTCAAACCAAAGAGCACCAGAAACTAGCAATAGGTCTGAATAGACAGCATCGAGCTGTGGAAGAATACTAACAACTGCAGGTGCAGTGCAGCCTCCAGCCTTAACAAGGCTACCTGCATCATTACATTAAATTGAAATACATTCTTCGAGATAATGCAAACCGATGAGGGTAGTATCAAAATTTTGGAATACTCACCTAACGTTACACTAGCAGGAATGGCATATGGAAGCTCAGACAACTTTCGCTGCAGTTTGCTGAACTGAACAACAGAAACAGTTCCAAATTCGTTTCCAATATACCGTGGGGGCAGATCACTCTCTATCAGAGAACAATTCATGAGGATAGAAAAGATTTTTTCCCAATTTTCCAAGATGATCTACACCAGGTTCAATCTTTGAATATTGTTAAATGCGGCATTTGACTGCAACGCCAACTTCGAGCAGTTTTTAAAAGCTTGAAATCATGTTTTAACTATGCTTCAAGAAAATACGATAGTTGTATTCTTTCTCCTTGCAATTCAATACTGGAGCATCTACTAGCACTATTAATTTGTAATCTCTATCTTGTGATGACGATACGGAGCAGCAGATAGAAGGTTTGAGAAAAAATGAGGGGTGGATCAACATGAACTGAGTGCCAGGAATCTCAGTAAATGCTGTGATTTTGCTCTCCCATCTGAGCGAGCACCCCAGCGTTTGCTTTTCAAGATCCCAAACCTGGACAATAGTCATCATATCAATCTGCATGAAGTTTGCCTATCCTTTTCCGCGCCTTAATTATTGTTGGTTCGTCGCGAAAAACCAAGACACTTCGGCAGGAAAAAGAAAGCAAAGCAAAGCCATGCCTAGGATCTGAAACCATAATTAATAATTTAGAGGAACATTTCCTTACCTCAACGTCATTCTCAGCATTAATATGAACGAGTTGTCCACCAGATGTGAACTGTATAAAATGCACCCAGAGACGAAGTTCGGCATGAGTGGCTACAAACACTTGACATAAGTCAATCCAAATGTAACAGCTAATCACGGCAGGATTGCGTGCAGCAATCGCGTCTTCAAAAACAGAAGCATTGATGGCGAAACCATGCTGAACTTTTACTTAAGAAAAACTTTCATAAACGTTTGGTATCAGCTCAAGAGTGTTCGGCCATGGCACCGAACGCTCAACCATGTAGAAAATCTACATTCATAATCGTCTAAAAGCAGGTTACTAACCTTCAGAAATTTACATGGGACTCGTGTGGACGATTGAAAGAAAGCTTCTACACCTGCACCTCCAAAGATCTTGATACGTCCATCTCTGCAAACAAAGCGACAAGTGTATCCATCATGTAAGACATAACTATGAAGACCAGGTACAATAATGTTACCTGTGTCTGATGCTAGTAGCCACATCAGAAGTCTCTCTTGTAAAGACATAATTGTAGTGTGCTAGTCAGAGCTGTCAGGAACATTAAGAGAAAACGAAAAAAATCCCTTGCATTGCAGCATGAGGAAATCATTTACGAATCTGCGCATAGGATATTTAGTGAGGATCATGGCCCTCAGCAAATTACTTCGGTTTAAGTACTGAACACTCAGAATTAACCTAAAGCACAGGTCTCATGGGGCAGCAGTAAGCAATCAGAGGGACACAACATACACTGAGGCAACTTCAAGAAGGCGTTGAATTGGATCAAAGGCCAAAATTGAAGCAGTTCCAAAGACGCCGTGATGGAACGACAGCCTGAGATTCAATTGCGCATTACTCAACGTTCCGGTGGGTACTTTCTCCTATCGCATAAGCCATATGAAGTGTGAGATATCATTATCTACGTAATATTTTCCTAATTTTCGAGGGCGGCAGCAACTCTGATATAGTTTATATATGCACCAACTTCAGTATTTTTGGTCTCATTTCTAAGACAACTGATATGATTACATAGTCCATGAAAATCTCACGTCACATAAATCTTACACCTCTTATTATTTAAAACAATATTAACAGTGTCACTTGCAGATCTCTCGTATAGCCCTGTCATGCACACAAGACTGAAAGTAGGGGAAATGAATTGCAGATAACGGGCACTTGCTGCAACTATTTGCGTTCATTGATCTGAAGCCGCTGCAGAGTGATAAGTGATTCGATCTGGATGCACTACCATGTTAAAAACCTAGACATCGATGCGAAAAGAAAACTACTGTGCGGTTTGGAAGGATCAGAGCTGGAGAAGCTATCAGAATAGTCTAGCGGCCGCATATTCGCAACGATGGTTTAAATTCTAAAATAACCAAACTGCACCTTAATCAGCTTAAATAATGTAATTCAAAGGCTCATCCAGGAGGCAAACATTTTGATTTCACGGGTAGTGTGATCAAGTTTCAACAGAACGAAAATCTAACACAGATTTCGTTGAGTTGAAAAGAGCAAGCCAGAGAAACAGTGCATCAAGCTTGCATTTAAAGGAAACCTCAGGCAGATGTTTCGCTTTATGAATTAGATTCATGAAAGCTTTGCCGCGCTTCAAAGCAGCAATGCCGTCTTTCATCCCAGCAATGTTGACTTTGTTTTGCATACTAATCACTTGCTTTCCATCTGTCTTCAACTTCTTTCAACCAATCAGCTTGCAACATGAAAAGGTTCAGACCAGAACAAGCAAGTTTCGTTTCTCAGTCTTGAAACTCTCTGGAATTGATTCTTGAAGAATCAGCTTCGAGCTTCTGTCAAAGATTTCGAAATTGCAAAAGAACATGCACCAAACGTAAAACCACTGAATGCGTCCACACGATATCTGATTCATAACAAGTGCGTTCAACGTTAAGTAGCCAGTACACTTCCAACATTCACCGTAAATCCCTTTCCAGTACCTGCCGTGCAAGCACAATAATCAATACCACTGTCACCTCTTTCTTGACAAAATTCTCCTCAAATATCACAATTCCGAAAACGATTTCCACATTCTTAGCTCAAGCACTTGAAACTCCCTTCTCTTGGATTTCAACAAAAGCGTAACTATAAACTCCAGGAGAAACCTAACAGCTAACAGCTCACACATTACACTCTGACCGAAGCTCCCTCAAGTCATACAACTCCAGCAAAACAAAATTACCTACTCCATACTCTTCCTCAATCCCACATACTCGCCGAAATTCATTCGCTCTGATAAATCACCTCCAAGAAACCGATACAGACGCCAGGTACACGACACTATCATACTCTAAAACCTTCCGATCCGAACAGCACGCGCTATCACTGGCGGTGAATGATTGCGCCGGCGACGACTCAAACTGACGCACAGCAAAGAATGCTTCAAATCGCCACATCCGTCGAGCCGCGCTACTTGTTCATAATCTTAAAATCTTAGCGCAAACACGGTCAGCATGGGACCCAGAGGATGAACCAAGAAGCCATTGCTCGCTCACACTGGTCTGTCGTCACCAACTCCACAGCCATCTCTTTCGGTCCTCGAAGTCCGTCCGTAACTCTGTAAATGCCAGCCATTCTGCCAATGCCATAGCCAAGGGTGTGAAGTTCGCCTCTTGTCTCTACGAGGAAGCGGCGATAGGTGCTGCATCTTGTGTTTGTTCCCCTGTGCTCATTCGGTGTTCCCAATGAGTGATCAATTCGAGGGCCATTTTTATAAGCCTCTCATCAAACGTATCACCTCGAGTATGTCCTAACTAACTGCCTTTATGAGGGTATAGGTTGTCTGGGTTCGCAAACAAGTAACTATGTAAGACAAATCATAAAAATTTACTGCTATTGATTATAGTCTTTCTTTTCTCATTTCTTTTCTTTTACTAAAAAATATAAAAATTGCATGCAAAAGAATTTGAATATATACATATATATATATATATAAAAAAATAGAGAGAGAGAGAGAGAGATGTATATAGATGTGAATTGATTTGAATAGTCAGAAAGTCAAAATATGTAAATAACTTCAATTTTTATTAGAATTCCAAATATCAACCACAGCTTTGGAGGGCCTTGCTTTTATTTGAGAGTACTATGTTCAACCAAGTCATTGATTATTGATGAACTAGCAAAATCCCTTACCGATAGGCATGGAAAAGTTATAAATTTTAAATTTGCAAAGTCAAAAATCAACAACTTCTAAAGAAACGTCATAAAAAATAAATGAATAGCAAATAACAAATAACAATGGAACCGTTTATATTTCTTAAGTATTATTGGATTTTTTTATTTTTTTTATTTACTTCAATAGCTAAAGTAGCTAGTTTAATAAAAGTTTAGAATAAATTGCATTGCATTTGTTGTGGGGTTTATAATTTCACTGTTTTTGGAATAAAGAATCTTGACTGTTTTTGGAGAAATGCATTGTGAAAGGACAAAATGTATTTTTACATTGTGAAAGGGCAACATATATTTTGGCTAATAAGAAGACTTCTTTGTCTCAACCAATTAAACAATGAGAAAGCTTCTTAATATCTATGTTTGTAACTAAGCTTTCTTATTATATACACAATAATACAAAATATAATAAAGAATGACAATGCAAACACTGTATTCAAGAATTGCATACACACAATTCAGTAGACTGCACATAAATATAAAATAAAATGATATAATCCTTAAGTATAAGATACACAGTTTTATAAATTTTAAACATTCAAATAAAAACCTGAAACTTGTAGAAACATCTTTCTCATACATGATGTGTATTCTTAAGACTAACAAAAAAAAAAAAAAAAAAAAAAAAAAAAAAATCTAAAAACTTACACATTGTTTTATTTGTGTTCAGGTTTGGTGGTTTTTTAAAATTTTAGTTTTCTTGTAAAATGATTAAGAAAACTAACATATCTTTCAAACTAATCCTGTATTTATTTAAAATGTGTGTTCTGTTCGTATATATATTTATATATATATATATATATACACATGTACATGCACATATGAGGAATCTTCCACTATATTATATGTACAACATTAATATCAAACCCTCTTGCCATCAAATTCATTTGTTGATAATATGATTAGAATTCTATTGATCTATTATATCATGTTCAGGGTCTAAACTTGTGTTATAAACTGCATTTTCACAACTTTTTTCCAAGCTATTGCCTTCAATACTGATTTTGGAGTTCTCAATGTTGCTTCTGTTGGCATTAAGATCATGTATGTTTTCAATATTTGAATTCAATATATTGTTGATTTCAAATTCTTGTAAACCCTCTGCTTCATTAAATAAAACAACCCTAACATCATTTTCCCATAATGGTGGTTCATGCTCCATCAGATTTTGGCACTGAGTAGGTAAACACAAACTTGGCCATTGATCCATACAAGCTTCCTTTCCATGGGAGATTAACATCTTTGGCAAAACAAATGATGAAATGTTTGGTTCACTTCCAAATTTCATCAACGATTCGTCACTCCATTCAATGAAATTATCCAATGGATTACCATTCTCCACAATGTCATGTTTCTCATACCAATTCAAAATACCTCTTTCTATGGGGATATCTTCCCCATAGTCACACATGCTATTGGGAAACTGCAAAGATTTATGCAACATATTTGAACAACATTGCTTCTTGTGATCCATGCATTTGCTGGTATTCAAATTGATCAAACTAGATTGCCCAAAATTGCTACTTGATGGTGTTAAAGTGTCACTCAATAACATTCTAGGCAACAAAGGAACATCTTTGGAGGGTTTGGTTTGACCAGGTTTTTGTTTGATTTCAAAATAATCAATGATACGAACATTACAATTACGCTCTTTATACAAACCAACAGGAGTCCATTTACTTGGAAATTCCTGCTTGTGTGAATCAACTTCCTTTTGGCAAGCTTGTTCAGCTTCCCAATGAGGGTCTAAAGCCCATTGTTTTGGTACCTACACAGTTTTTTAAATAGATGTATATCAATACTAAATTTATAATTACCATTTAAAACCAATGATTCTATATGTATCCTTTTTTATAGTTTTTTTCAAATAAAACTGACTATGGTGTACAATGGTTAACCTTGTCAATAGCAAGGGTATAAATATGTAGATCTCCTTTTGAAGAAATGTGACACCGGGTGAAAGATTTGTAGTTGGCAATACGGAGTGAAGAAAATGCTTCATCAAAATGAAGATGGAACCAATTTATACATATGTATAGATAACTCCCAAATACAAGGGAAACAATTGGACATGAAAATATCCAATAATATAAGAAAACAGTTGCATAATACACCAAAACCAAACCCCGTGGAAGCCTAGACATTCCTTGCTCACATATATTATTGCGGGTTACTGCCATTACCTGTTTCATTGTACAGAATTTCAATTCAAATAAAGGACATATTGCTTTATTCCTTAAATGTTTGAATTTATTTCATGTAATTAATGATAGTTATTTTTTATGTCATACATGAAAGACTTAAATCTAAGTTTTAAATTAACTTAAAATAGAAAATAGAAATAGCTAATATGATCTGGATTCAGATCAATAAAGCCTTTGCTTGAAAGAATTATTTTATCTTAACATTGGAAAATATACATACACACAAACACATACATACCTCTGCCCCTTTAGTGAGAGTGTTAATGCAGAAGTTGATTTGCAAAAAATACATGTAAATGATTTTGTACTTAAACATATAATATCATTATTAACAAGAACAAATAAGTGTTTACAAAAAAATATATATATTTTAAGGTCACCAACAAACTATGTTGGATTACTAATTACCTCAGGGACATCAAAAGCAGCCATTAAGTATTTTATACATGCAGGGTACATGCCAAAAGTCCAATGCTCAATACGCCCTCTCAATCCCATGGGATCAGGAAAATGTTCCCCTTCCTTTGAATGATACCAAGCATACAAGGAATGAAATCCTAGAAACAAGCAGCCGGATCATTCAACACACAAGATTCAAGAAAGAATTAAAAAGGTATACCCATACACTTAATATAACCATTTAAAGTTAAACACTCAATATGATATTGGAATGAGAATGATGCGAAGTTCTATACCCGATGTTCCCAAATGGTTGTGACGAATACATGTTTCAATGCCAATTTCAAGCAACAACATCAACACCATTGCAGACACAAGATGCAAAGTGACATGGAGGAATCCAATGATAATTCGCTTGCTCCGTGACACTTTCACGGGAACAAATGACACGGCCAATGCCAAGAGAACAAGGGTTCCAGTCATTGAGACATAGCTATGCTCCACCATTTGGATGAATGCTTGACCCATTGTCCTCCAAAATGCTATGAGAATTCCACGAATATCACCATTGTTGAAAATTTCATTCAATTCACACTGAAACCATCTTTTCATGATCCAGCGAAAGGATTTTATTATAATCAGTAATTTTCAGGTCAAATTGTGCTATTCAAATTTCCAAATATCCAAATATGAAATAGTAGAAATTCTTTTTAGAATGACAGAGTAAATTTTACCTGTGGAAACATTGAAAACACTAACACAAAGTACACAATACCACCAATAACATCAAATTGCCAATTCTTCCTTCTGAATTTTAAAATGTTGCCCAATGCTATCTATATAAAACATTTCAATCAGTTCAAATCAGTTCAAACACCTCCAAATCAGATTACTTATCTTTCAAAACTTAGCTTCTTTTTTTTAAAAAATAATATAGAATTAGCAATTGTGCATACATAATTTAAAATATATATTTTAAAACTATGACTAATCAAATAAATAAAAGTGAATTTAATTTTTTACTAACAATAATAGTAATAACAATTTAAGAAAAACTTTAAGACTTTAAACTGGATGTTCATGAAGGTGAATTCATACAATCTTTTACAACATATTCACATAGAAAAGTGATGGTGAAAATTTATATAAATAAAGTAAACATGTTTAACATTTAACCCTTTCAGATTGACGCATTGTAGGATATGCAGCTATTTTTTCATATTTATTCCCCTGAAAATCTTGAAACTTTGCAAATATGTGGGTTGGATGGAGGAATGCGCCTCCCTGGCCATTAACAAGCAAATGCTCAATGCAATTATTTTGAGCTCCTCCTGAGATAGAATGTCGCATGTAATGGTGAAGATCTCCAGCCAATCGAAGGCGGCACCTACCTTTCAAATGCTCTTGAATAAGATGTGATACATTTTTCCCCGTACTATTTTCCCAATACCAATCCAAAAGCCAATTGGGTTCATGGGTCATTATTATTATAGATTCATTTTCTCCCACCTATATTACAAAGTGATGAACATAAACACCACATAATATAATCACAAACAGAAAAAGAAAGAAAAGAAATCAAGAACAAAATTCCAAAACATTAATTTTTTTTTTTTTTTTTTTTTTTTTTTCATGAGAATTCAAGTGATTTAAAACCTAAAGAAGAGATAGTTCTTCAATCTTTAAAATTTTATAAAACAAATTATTATACTATGCTATCATTTAAAAATAAGCTGGTTATTATAACCTTCTGGGATCCACCATAATTATATTCCATCAAAAGCATTTATGATAAGACTTACCTCATTTTTTGCAATGTTGCTAAAATATTTAAATTGGAAAATGTCGATGTCACCGTGGAGAGCTTGATCTAGTCCAAATATCCACCAACCATGAGGTAGTTTCAAAGCAAAATAGCTTTTTGATTGGGGCAACAACCATCCTCCCAACCAACTTCTATGGCAAATGTATCGCATGAATGTATCAAGTCCATCAAACCAATCTGCATCCTAATAAGAAAACAATGGTATTAACTTAATTTCACAAACATAAAATCTTTCCCTATTCATGTGAACAAGTGGGTTCAAAAGCATCAACTTTCAAAATGATATAAATATCACTGTATTATTGATAAATTTTTGGAATACCATGATTTCCAGGTATGGCAAAACATTGTGGAGCTTCTAAATCTTCCAATGATTTAACTCCTTCAGGCAATTCAGGTTTACTCACAGCTATGTGCTCAGGTCTATACCATGGTGGAGGTTGTAATGCATACTCAAATGGTCGGAAAAAACGGCGCTCATAGGAAAAGGCAGATGGATTGGGATATCTGTCAAAAAAACATATTAAAAATATAGCAAAAAAGAGTATGTGTTAGTATATACATATATAATATGTATAATAGAAAAACTTCATTTCTTACATCAAATGTGATATATGTCATTTTTTTAAAAAATATATCATAATAAAATAATTACTTGTAACACATGAGTGTATGCATATATAAAAATGCTGTATTAACATTAATATTTGTGAAGATTTAAATTTTTGAAATAAATCATTATGACTATTCTTATTATGACAATATTTAAATATAATAAACTGAATTGTAAGGCAAAGTAGTTTATTGATGTTTTGAGACTTTAGCATTGACTCAATCAAATGTAATTTTTTGTTCTATGCTTGGTTTTAAAAGACAAACGCAAGGTCACCGCCAATGAGGAGGAGCTGGCTACGAGGCAAGTTATGGAAACCGCAACACCGCTCATCGGCAACACAAAGGGAGGGTTGGGCTAGAAGACGGGCAATGCTGTATGTTGAGTTGCCTCCATCTCCTGTGTCTGCCATGAAATCCATCCACAACTCACTCTTTTGGCTCAGATGGGAATGCACCACACTCTTGCTCCTTTGTTGTTGAGCTTGAGTCATGGCTGCCTGCAAATAAATACATGCATTCATAATGATATTTCTTGAAATCTACAAAACAAATTAAAAACAATCACAGTATGTGTAGATACACATAAACATACATATATATAGACATACATACATACTCATACATATTTATATATGTATATGTATATGTAGATAGAGAGAGAGAGATGTACAAACATACATACACACACTTCTCACAAGAGTCCCTTCAATGTTTTTTAATAAAAAAACTGATTGTAAATTTTCTATCAAGAAATAATTGAATTTCAAACAGCATTCCATTGGATACTTTAAAAAAATAATACATGAATTTATACCCAATTTTACCTGAAACAAATTGTTGTTCTTCAAAAAAAAATTGTCATTTATTAAACTAATTTTAAAAAATGTATAGAATTGAAAGTTTATGCCAAGAGTGTGGTGTGTTTGCTCACTTGCATGGTACGCATGTCAAAGCGGCCAAGGAACAAAGTCACAGAAACTAAGAGATCAAATGCAGTTTTGAATAAATCTGCAGATGTCCTACCACAACAACCAAGCTCAACCCCGCACACTTCAACATGGAGAGTATACTCTAGAGCAAATCATTCTACAATTTTTAAAAAAATAAAAAAATAAAATATATACAGTATAATGTATGGTGCAAATACACAAACATACTAGGAAATTTGAGGAGTAGAAACTATACCCTGAATACCAAGGAACCATATCCAAAAACTCAGGCTTTGTAAGTGTATTTCTTTGTTGTGCATTGCTTGCTAGATGTGAGAGTGCCCATCTGAAACCCCCAAATTAATAAGCCACTTTTCCATTTCCAATATTGTGTGTTAAGAAGTATACATGTTTCATAAAATGAGTAAATAAAGAAATACATTTCACTGAATTTCATAAGTGATGAATTCCTTGAAAATCTTGATCAAATCATCAAAATATATTTAATAAATAGTTTGGAAATAAAAATGAAATTATTGGAATGTCCATATATGGAAAATTAACACTAAAAATAGTTTTCAAGAGCAATCTTACTCAGTAGATCGCTCTACAACAAAATTGGCAATATAAATGCCAATGAAAGTTGCCCATAATGAATATACAGGTGATATGTTATCAGATGGTCCAATACATGCATCATTGCATACCAACTGCACATACAACACAAACAGGTCCATCAATATATAGTTGTGAAAGTAAAATTTTCACTTGATAATTAACCTAATCTTTGCAGAAAACTAGGTATTAATTCATTTGTTGTTATACTAGATGTTCAAAGGTTTTATATTATAGAAAGTGGGGCCAAGAATCCATTCATCTTGAGAATGGACTCAACAAATAAAATAAAATAAAATAATATAGAATCTTAAAACAGCTCACATTAAGCATTTGAGAATAATGAAAAATTCCCACAAAAGAAAACAAAAAAAGAATAATGTAATAAATTCAACTCAAAATTTGAAAAAATTCCAACTTTTTAAAGTAAATTAAAAGTAATGAAATAAATAAGTCTAGGAATCAAACCTCTCCATAGACCACCCACTTGGAGAAGACTGGGTAGTCTTTGGCAGAACCAACTGGAGCAAGCCATGTCCAACAAACTTGAGATTTCATGTGTTGCATGTTCCATGGTTGGGATTTTGGGTCTGGAGGCCTTGCAACCCATTTGATAGATTTTTCTCCAAGCTTGTTTAGAGTGTATGTGGACCACATTGTTGGCTTTTGACGTGGCACTTGGTTGCCACAATGGCTATAGAATACACAACATGCAATACTAAGAACCTACACCACAAAACACAACCTTCTTCCTTGCATTTAGTTCCTCCTTTCCAAACACAGTGATGCATCCACAGTGAATTTTACCCATATTTATACAATTCTTGTCAAAAAAAGAAGTTGTGAGTTTCCTACAAGTTAAGGTTATGTTTTGTTTTGTTTTTGTTTTACATAAGAATGAAAACATAAATATAAGAACTTGAAAAGTAGAAAGAGTTTTTCATGGTTGAAGTTTTCAAGTGCATTTACCACAGAGTTTTGAATGATGGTTAATATTTTTGGGGGTTTTCTTGCATCTTGAGATGCAAGTCCAATATACCAAAGAACCATAAACACAACATGGAACAATAACAAGGTCATCATAGATGCCAAAAACAGAATTAAAAAAAGGGACAAATTCATTCGCACATCCACACCCATGGACCGAATGGTTGGCAAGTGGTACATGGCTGCCACCAACAACCACACCACATACCTATATCCCACAAACACCCACCAAAACCTAACAAGGGTAAGCAAAAAAAAAAAAAAAAACAAAAAACAAAAAACAAAACAAAACAAAAAACAAAGAAAAGAAACAATGTAGTGGCACATGATAATTTGACCCATCTCTCTATTTAAATGCCTGCACATGTTGGTAAACATACACAAATACAAGATTAATTGAGCTGAATTGTGTACCAACGGCTGAAGTTGGAGTAGCTTGGTTGAATGGTGTTTCCAAGGAAGGGCGACGAGAAGAAATAGAAAAATCCTAAAAGGATCGCGTAGATGGACCACCACTTGGAGTTGGCATCGAGTTTATTAAGCACAATGTGCATGTTGTCCGTGGAGATGAAGAACATTGTGGTGGCCAACACCGCCAGCATCGCATGCCGCGAATGCTCGTGCGGGTACAGACTCTCGTCGGTCATCGCGGTGGCGATTCTGTCCAGGCTATCCGATTTCTGCCCTCCAGATGGTCGAGCCTTCTTCGCTTCTTCGCTGCCGAGGTTGATGGATTCCTCCTAATGGCGGCGGTTTCTAACAAGTCTGCGGAAGCGGGTGCCCACTTTATAAGATCCCGACTTTGCTGTGGACTGCTACCCTCATCTGCGTGGCCCCCCCATCTTGCACCCTCTCCATGGTGGCAAGCACTCGCTGTAGACCATCTCTTTGAGAGCCTTTCAATGCCCGATTTGCGGAACGAGATCCATAACTGACAATGCTGGTCAATACTCACACGAGCACCCGACTTGATCCGTTCCCTTGCTTCGTTTCCACCCGTCGCTTCGAACAAGGCGTCCTTACACCCAGATTGCAAGCTTCCAAATGCACTCCCTGGAGTTTTAGCATCATACTGGAAACCCAATTTAAAACGTGTAAATGGCGGAGGAGGATGCGAACTGGCGGCAGGAATGTCGCAGAAGGATGTGAAGAGGCTGCACCCTGCAACGGTGACCAGTGCGCATCCTGGTTAGGAGGCCCAAGGCTGTGGCAGGTGTTAACGAGAATATTCCCTGTTGAGAATGCTGGGCCTGTAGCCGTGGCTTTGCAGAAGCTCCTTTGGATCCATTCACACTGGATTATCACTGTCACAACGTAATGTTGTGACGTAAATTATATTGTATATTACTTTTTACATGTCGATACAATAAACATTATATGTTCTATGTTGAATAACTTATCTAGGTTTGTTTGTTTGTTTTTTGTTTTGTTGTAGAATCAAGTTATTTTTAGTTATTGTATTGAATTGACAAAGTACTATCTTTTTTATTCTTGATGTAAACAATGTTAAGTATTGTCAAATACAACAATGAAAAAATAAATTAGAATTTTTTATATTTTAACACTAAAATAAGATATATTTGATGCATTAATGAAGTGGTAAAAGCACATGTCAAGGATATAAATCACAAACAACCAAAATGTTAATACACTCTTATGTCACTAAAAAAGAATAAACATTCACATAAAGATAGTATAATATTAATACTAGAATGACTATTGCCAAAGACTAGAAGACTAGAGATTCTTAAAATAAGACTAAGAACAAGAAAGACATTGAAAAGAGTGAAGAAGGTCTCACTCTTGCATCTATATGTACTATCTAATTAGAAGCTACATGATGACATTCTATAAGGTCTTTAACACATTTCCAACTTACAAGACATTAGTCTATCTTACAAAACAAGTTTCTTATATGTATGCCATATGGCCAACTTGTACCATAAATAGTCAATATATGTGATATATAGCCAATTTATTGGCCAAATTTTTAACCTATCAATCACCTAAAAATACATATAAAATCAAATCTACACCTATAAAGCTTCTAAGATTCATATCTATAAGATATTATCAATTTTACATATATTTACTTATTTTTGGTTAATTCATCTTATATATATAATTGTCATTAATATTATTATTTATATTTGAAATAATACGTTATTCTATTTAACTTCTTATATAAAAATGGTAGAGCTAAAAATGTCATAAAAAAGAAATAATTATTAGAGCTAATTCATTTAAATTTTTATATAAGATTATACTACAATAAGATATTTTAAAGTTATATTTAATAATTATATCATCTTTGAAAAATATTATGTATTTTTTCAACTATGATATATTCCATCTCTTAAATATAGTAGTTTTTGGTGTCAAGTTTTTTGTCAAATTATTTCAATAAATTTTTAAAAAAATTATCTATATTTAATTAAAACTTTTCAAATCATGCTTTTAGTATAAAATTTATGCTATACTTCATTTTTGAAAAGAAAGTTATTTCTATAAATTCAAATAGTCAATAAATAATGTTTTTCTTTAAATTGATTCAAATTGAATTAAGATAATAGAATTTCAACAAAAAAAACCTATTTCTAATTGATTGATTTCTATAGACATTATTTCTAAGAGTTTGATGTTAATTTATATAGAAGAAAAGTGGTCCAATTTCAAATATTACAAACATGATAACAATTCCAAAACTTATAGAAAATGGATTTTGGCTTTTGGAAATCACTCAAAGAGAAATAAATATCAATAGTAGGAAAAATATTTCTCTTTTAGGTATTTATTTCTACACTTTTGTACTATATAAGCCAAATATATATAGTTTCTTTATAAGAATGTGAATTGGACCAAATGATAGATAAATTAAATGAAAAATCTTAGTATAATAGTAAATTTCATTTTCATGTCACTAAATTATTAATTAAAGTATTTCTTTAAAATACTTTTTTTTAAAACTTAGATTTAATATTTTATAATTTTTATTTTATTTTTTAGTTCTATTGGACTAATTTTGATTTATTATATGAAGATATGTATTGAGCCAAGCCACAAGAATATGCTCCAACAAATTCACTCCAATCCAATTTACAAATCATGAGAAAACATCTAAAAACTACACTAATGTTACTTGGCTGCCTACTTGAAAGTTGATGCAAATGTTTTAGCAATAATTTTTCCTTTTTCAATCGTTAACTTCAATTCAAAATTGGTTTGTAGCTTGATCTTCTAGTCTTCTAATATCATACCAAATTTCACTATGATTCAATTGGTAGATCTTTAGATATCATAGAAACCCTATCCAACCTCAAATTGCCAATTTCTGATACCTTATTGTATCAAAACCTAGATATCTTGCAATTTCTCTACTAGATTATCACAAAAAAATCACATACACTTAGCACACCTAATTAAATAAGTACTTTCAAATTTTGAACTATAGATGTAACACCAATTTTACGAACTAGCTAAGAAAGCTAGCCCTAATTGTATTGCATAAATGCTAAGTCACCAATACAAACCTTTACTTTGAATAACAGTTGCAAAGTCAAACCAAATTCTACAAAAACAAACCTTATGTTTTTAGAATAAGCTCTAAGCTAGCTCTCTAATTCTAATTTTTGATCTTCAAATGCCCCTCTATTTTACCTTAGACGGTCGTTTTAGTGGCTAGAGGTCTGATTTTGACCCTTTCTTGCAAATAGTCAACCCCCAGATATCAATCTAATCTATCCTAGGGATTTTTTAGCCCAATTCTATCCTTAACTTAATCCTACTATCAATCATGCTACTTATTTACTTCTTTTTATTTGATTTTATCAATTTATGATCATTTTAAAGTACTAAAAGAGTCTCTACAGCCTAGAAAATAAAAATTACTAACCAACCTTTAATCTATTAACTATTAAGACAAAAAAATAAACCAAGAGGCTTTTATAAAAGCTATATTTAAATATCTTGAATTATTATTGAATGAAGATAATTGTGATGGACATACAAATGAAGAAGATTTTGGAAAGTTCTACAAGATACTAATAGGTTTTTAGAAGGCTCTTGAAGATTCTAGAAGATTCTAGAAGGTTTTGGAAGGTTCTAATAGATTCTAAGAAAGTTCTTGAAGGTCATAAGAGCTCTTAGAAGATTCTAAGAGGCTTTAGATGATTTAAGAAATTTTTAAAGAAGGATCTAGGCTTATTTTATTCTCAAGCCTCATAAAAACTTTCCAAGAAGCTTCCTATGACCTAGTATATATAGAAGTAGAGGCTGAGGAGATCTTCAATCTTGACAACTCACTTCTTGTGATCTAACTAGGACCTTCTTATCTTGTATCTAGTTATTGTTTTAATATCGAGTTAAGTCCATTCCTTGGTCTTAAATCTTTGTCTTGTATATGGCCTCTAATAATTTGTCGACACTACCATAAAACAATATTAGGAGCTTAGTCTTTCTTGACAAAGAGTGGATTACTCTTCTTCTTAGAAGTACTATAGCATTATAGAGGTTGTGGATTACCCTCTCTTAGACTAATATTTTTCTTTTCTTAATATTCTTTTGGTTTCTTTTCTTTATAATATAGATCAAGTTTTTTTCTTTTGAAGGCATGTGTTTCTCTGATTTTCTATAGTAAAAGGTAGAAAAGTCAATATGACAGATTCAAAAGAGATTAAGTTAGATTCTATTATTATTGCTCTTGAAGCATTGTAAATTAGGACAAAGACTTTATCGAAGTAGAATAAAGAACTATATATGGCCGTACATAATGGTCAAGGAGCTGGAGTGTGTCAACCACCACATCAAATTGTAACAAAGGTTCCAAATTCTCAAACGACTATATCTACTTCAAACATGGGAGGTGCATCCATTTAAGGCAATGATCTAACAACAATAACAAAAAAAGAATTAAGGATAAGCCTTTCAAAAAAATTTGATGGCACTCACTTAAAATTTCATAGCTTTGTAAACTAAGTACAATTAATCACCTTACTTCAACCTCAATAATATACCACTGAAGCTTCTTGTGTTGGTTTGATTGGAACCTTATTCTTGAGTCAAGCTTTATCCTAGTTCATCCCATTATTTGAGAATAATTCTTTTATATCACACAATTTAGAAGCATTTTTGGAAGCATTTATCAAAGCATTTGGTGAACATGATAAGGTTCATTCTTCAACAACTAAAATTCAAAGCCTTCGATAAGGAACCTGCTTTGCATCAATGTATGCTTCAAATTTTTGACAATTAGCATGTGATATAAATTGGAAAAAAGATGCATTGATGAGCCAATTTCATTGGAGATTAAGAGACGATGTCAAAGACTTATTGTTGTCTATGCCAGATCTTCTAACACTCAATGAAGCCATTAATCAAGTTGTGAAGTACAATAACTGTTTATTTTAATAACAACAAGATAAATGTTCTTCAATTACGCCACATGTATATACCAATTATTCTGCACCTTCTTCACCATCCAATTTTAATCAGCTGTTGGAAGCAAAAGATATGCAAATTGATGCAGTTCACTTCAATCTTCTTTCTACTCAAGAAAAAAAAGTATCGAAGAAAACTTAGCCTATGCTTGTATTGTAAAAAACTTGGCCATAAGGTTAATAAGTATTCAAAGAAACGCCAACGTACATATGGAATGATGAATGCAGCCACATTATCAAAAGTGTTGTACGAAAATGATAGCATCCAACTATAATAGGAATCGTGCGGCTAGATTCTTCACTATCACAAACCAAAAAAAGTCTAGTACTCTCTACCAACCCTTCTCGTTGTTTTACTATATATGTACGGTTAGAAATTATAAAATTAGATTGTCATGCATTACTTGATTTGGAAACCTCTACATGTTTTATTGACAAAGAATTTTCTAGATCACACAAAATTTTTACAGCCAAAAAATCCAAAGCCATACATGTAGAAGTAATAGATGGTCGGCCTTTAACCTCTAGAGATGTCACTCATGAAACAATTCCATTAGAAATAACCTTTGACAACTATAGCAACTAAGTAGTATTCAACATCATTAGATCACTATCAAGTTCAGTCATTTTAAGACTCTCATGGCTTGAAAAATACAATCCATAGATAGATTGGATATCATGAAAGTTAGAATTTCTTTTAATAGATTATAGAACCCCTAGATCTATGAAAAAGCTTCTAACA